CCCCCCCCCCCCCCCACCTCCCCATTCCCCATCTCCCGGACGGGGGGGGGAAGGGCTGACTCAGGGCTTCTGCCCTGCAGCAGAGTGGTGGGGCTAGGGCAGAGGTGGGCAAAGTACGGCCCGCGGGACCATCCTGCCCAGCCCCGGACCTCCTGCTGTCTCCCCTCCCCCACAGCCTCAGCTCACTTGCTCCACTGCCGGCACAATGCTCTGGGCGGTGGGGCTGTGAGCTCCTGGGGCAGCCCAGCTGCTGAGCCTGGCCTGACCCAGTGCTCTGTGCTGCGTGGTTGATGCCGTGGCTGTAGCGCTGCCAGCCACCGGTGCTCCAGGCAGCGCGGTAGGGGGGCACGGAGTGTGTGTGTGTGTGTGGGGGGAGGTTAGATAGAAGGAAGGGGAGTTCAGGGTGGGGGTCAGGGTGTGGGGGTGTGGATAGGGGTCGGGGGGGAACAGGAGGTTGAATGGGGGCAGTCAGGAAGGAGAGGTGGTTGGATGGGGTGGCAAGGGGCAAGTCAGGGGACAGGGACAAAGGGTGATTGGATGGGGCAGGGGTCTGGGGTGGGGCCCGTCAGAAATGAGAGGAGGGGTTAGATGGGGTGGCGGGAGTCTGGGGGCAGCGAGGGGACAGGGAGTGGGGGTGTGTGGATGGGGCAGACGTCCCGAGGGGCCATCAGGGAACGGGGGGAGGGTTGGATGGGGCAGGAGTCTGGGGTGGAGGGGGGAGGCAAATAGGAGTAGGGCCAGCGCTTCCACCAGGCGACCCTAGGCAGTCGCCTAGGGTGGCAGGATTTGGGGGGCGGCATTTTGCTGTCCTTGGCGGAAATTCAGCCGAGGGAGAGGTATCCTTCCGCTCCGGGTCTTCGGCAGAGGGTCCTTCACTCGGTCCGGGACCCACCGCCGAAGTGCCCTGAAGACACGGAACAGAAGGACCCCCGCCGCCGAATGCTTAGAGGAGGAGCGCTACTGCCTACAGCGGCAAAAACCCTGGCGCCGCTCCTGAATAGGAGGTGGGGCTAAGCCACGACCCCCTCCCCTAACCGGCCCTCCATACAATTTACGAAACCTGATGAGGCCCTCAGGCCAAAAAGTTTGCCCGCCCCTGGGCTAGGGGATTCTGGGCCTCAGACCCAGGGGGGAGAGCCCTCCCATGTGGCTGACACCCCGAGCCCTGGCAGGCACATGCCCCGTTTCTTGAACTTCTGTAGATTGTCGTATGCAGCTCAAGAGGGTCAGTAAGTTTGGCTACGCCTGCCATAGGCCAGAGCCTCAACACACCAGCACTCTAAATATGGTCAAGTTTTGTGTTGGCATTATGCAAAAGGAGCCTGTGAGGGAGGATTTTGAACGAGAAGAACGAGGGTCCCATGCACCTTGTCTGCACTAAAACTGAGCTGCGGGGGGCAGGACCCAGCGCACGCTACTGTAATAGTGACAATAAACAACAGTGTTGGTCTGGGCCAGGCGCCTCCACGCCCTGTGCTGGTTCCCGATGGGGCGCGGGGGTCCAGCAAGAGGAATGATGGTGATAAAGCCCCAGGACGGGGTGTGTGCGAAGGGATGCAGAGACCCGGGACAGCCTAGCATGGGCCTACCAATGACCTTTCTCCACCTCCGCCCGGACTCGGGGCCCGGGAGCGGGGGTAGCTGGGGGCAGAAGCGGGAAGGGGCGAGGAAGAACGGAGCGACGGGGAACGAGGCAGGGGAAGGAGCCGGGCCCCGGAGGGGATAGGGAGCCCCCAGCACGGGGCGGTAGGGCCGGGGGGATCCAACCCAGGAGCGCTGGACCCGGCTCTTACCGGCGGGTAGCGGGCGCCCGCAGCCGCTGCTGCTCCAGGTAGGCGCGGAGCCAGAGCTTTTTGTCCCGGCGCTGCTGATGCTGGAGGCAGAGCGCGGCCCGCCCGGCCCCGCCGGCAGCGGCCAGGAGGCGACGAGGCGCCCGCAGTAACAGCCCCGTGGCCATAGCTGCTCGGCGCGGACTGGGAACAGGAAGGAGTTCACCATGAGACCCGGCCGCGGGAACCAGCCCTCGGCCCTTCAGTTCCGGGGAGAAACGTTCCGGGCGCGCCTTAGCGCGTGACCCGCCCGAGGGACAGGGCGGCTCTGGGGACTTCAATTCCCAGTAGGCGCTGCTCCAGCCACAGCCCTCCCCCCATGCCTGCCTGCCGGGAGCTATAGTGCTCTGGGCCCACCTCTACCCTGCAAGGGCGCCCGGGCCGGCGTGTGCACGGGCGGGGACAGCGTTAGCCCAATGCTGGGCCAGGGCCAGGCCTCCAGGAGCTCAGGTTACGCCGGTCCCTCCCCCCTTTGCAAGCTCAGAGTCGCCGACCCCGCCCGCGTTCCTGCCTGATACCCCAGGGTCACTCACACAACCAGGGGAAGAGAAGGGATCGGCCCCTTTACCATAACCTCTTGCTGCCCCTGCCCTCGCTAAGGGCTGGCCTACACTAGGGGGTGGGGATCGATCTAAGATACGCAACTTCAACTACGCGAATAGCATAGCTGAAGTCGAAGTATCTTAGATCGAATTACCTGGGGTCCACACAGCACGGGATCGACGGCCGTGGCTCCCCCGTCTACTGCGCTACCGCCGCTCGCTCTGGTGGAGTTCCAGAGTCGATGGTGAGCACGTTTAGGGATCGATATATCGTGTCTTAACGAGACATGATATCGATCCCAGATAAATCGATTGCTACCCACCAGTACAGCGGGTAGTGAAGACATAACTTAGCAGCTGCCTAGGCAAGGGCATATGCACCTGGGCACTGCTCTGACCCCAATTTAGGGTTGCCAACCTTCCAGGATTGTCCTTGAATCTCCAGGAATTAAAGATTATGTCATGTGATGAAACCTCCAAGAATACGTCCAACCATAATTGGCAATTTAGGCCAGAAAGCTGCAGTGCTGCCTCATCCCAGCACACATCAGTTTTGCAGTTGCTGCATTAATACACACAGCAGCACAGCACCCAGTTAACTCTTCTCAGGAGCTCTAAAGCACGCACCGCTGTCCTAGATCAACAGCCTACACTGCCAGTGAAGGGCTGCACTCTCATCTCATCCCACCCTCTCTCAGCTGATCATATACATTTTAAGGATAAAGACTAGGGGGGGAAGGCCAGGCTGTTTAAATAACTAAAAATAAACAAGCACACTAGGCAATTGCTTGTAGCACAGTGTGGACAAAACCCAAAGGGTGTGCATGAGTGGGGTGGTGATGAACATATAACATTCAACAAAATGGGAAACCTGCTTCCAACCAGAAATTACTGAACGCTAGGATATTTTGCCTTTAATACAGACCCTACAGATTTTCTTCCTTTGCCTTTTAGAAAATTCTTTGGCTGCCTTTTAAAGTTAAAGATAATTGATTTAAAATTTAAGAAATAAAAAGCACATGCTGAATCTCAGTAAGTTTCCAAATTGGAAAACATGTTATGAATAGCAAATTCAATAAACTTGTTTCTACCTATGAGAGACGTAGATGAGACATCTATGAAGACACTCAACATCTCTAGTTTTACGTAATGAAACAGATAAGTAGTTTTGGGACAGTGATTCTGGAAATGATGCCTGGCTAGAGGAAGTGAAGAGGAAGTATATTTAGCATTTTGAAGGAAGAATATGTTTTTGTCTCAAAATACAGGATTCCTGCACATTTGAATGAAACAGTGTTTAAGAATTCCCAAGATAAGACAGGTAATGAAAACCATTTAAAAACTTACATTAAATTCTGCGTTGGTTTGACAGATTTATTAAATACACTACATTGGTACCTTATATTTCATAATCTTTAGATCACTCACAGACAGACTTGCTTAAAAATGTCTTTTATAGAAAAACATCTGCAAAATTAAAGCTAAAATATGAAAATACATATTACACACTGGATAATCTGCTGAATCATGTTAGCAAAGAATGCCTTTCATTCAATCTGTACATGTGCATAAACGAGGGATATATTCATGAACTAAGGTTGCGGGGGGTTTTTTGTTTGTGTTTTTTTTTTTTAAATCTGGCACACTGCTGTAACTAGTTTGGCTAAAGGAAAACTGGTGCAATAATGTTTAACCATAAAATTACTGCATCTAACAGGAGAACAACAATAAAAAAAATCCTCCAACTTGTATTATGTACTTTGTTTACAGAGACTTTCTTTTCCAAATCCATTCTCTTCCTACCACAAGAGAGACAATGATTATTTCTGCAGGTCACCATCCTTACATAGCAGAGAAGCAAATTCCTTTCCAAAATGAGTCTATTTATATTTACATTTAGACATGCAAAGGGACAATACTGTAAGTATGTGAGTACAAACTGATAAAAATAAATATTACTGAGTCACAGAATGTCCCTTTAACACTGTAACTCTACAGCCTTTTTCTGTGGCAGAAGTTCTCAGTGCATGGATTATAAAACAGCATACCATTTAGAGACAAAAATTTTTGCAAATTTTTATATTTCCAGCTATTAAATCTTTTGGAGAGCTGTGTCTAGCGCCGAAACCATAGCCAGCTATTGAGTAGCCAGAAAGCTACAGTAATTGAGTACATGATCATTTCTCTTTTAGCGCGCTCTTTGTTTTCTTCTTCCAGAAGCTGTAGACGGCGATTAAGTTTGATTATCTAAAAAAAAGAAAGTCTGCTTTAGTGCCTGGTATAAGACTGCTAGATTCTCTAAAGAATATATAAAAAAGTATGTAGAATGCATTATTCTTAAAGATTAGATTGCACAACCTCACTGTTTAGGAGGTTCATTGACTAAGGACAAAATTTTCCTGTTTTTGTTCAGTTCTTTATAGGAAAATAATTTGCACTGATCTTGTAGAAAGCTGGGTCACCCTCCTCTTAACTGTTACATAGTCATGCTATATTTAACTCTTTTCTTCTTTCCTCATCAATCAGTCAATCCTTCAAGACCACTATACACCATACTTGTTATTCTTCTATGAATTCCTTTGTATTTGCCAACATCCCTCTGACATTGAGATGCCCAGAATAATACAGAGTATTTTAGATGCAATTGCGCCAGTGAATACAGAGATGACCAATTACCACAGATGTGATGTCAGAGATATTCTTCCTTTGCAAATTATACAGAAATCACATATCTAACCTGTTCTCCCATTTTCAACTCTAAATCTTTTTCTTTATCTCACCAGCAAGCTTATTTTAAATACCTGTCTTCTTAAGGAAGCAGCATCCACAACTGACATGTCATCTGGAGTTCCCTCAAGTGTTGTGTCCAAGTTTGAAAGACCATACCTATCAGAGGGGGGAAAAAGTTTAGATGCTCTACATGTTGAGTGAAGAGTAATTGGTACATTATTTGATGTTCTCTGTAACAAACAGGAATTTTCAGAAAAAAAGCTCTTTTTCAACTTTTAAAAAAGCATCTGATACTTTAGGGCCCTAATTTAAGAAAACACTTAGAAAAGGGCTCATGTCCCATTTACTTTAATGTTTGCATGTGCTTAATTGCTTGGCAGAATTGGGGCTTTAATGCTTTCCAGGACTAAGTATTTTGTAGATGCTCCACAAAACAAAGAAATGGGGGAAGTAATCTTTATTGTGGCTTGGACCGTAAGGTAAATCTCTCAGAATTGCTTGATCTAATATTGAAACCTGCAAAGAGCTTGAGCCAAAACCTCAAAAATATATCCTACATGAAGGAACAACAAATAAATACGATATTCAAACTAAATGCTTATTTTGACAAAAAAAAATAAACTTGAGAATGTGTATTAGTTTAGAACAGGGGTTCTCAAATTTCACTGCACCACAACCCCCTTCTGAGAAAAAAAAAATTATTACATGACCCCAGGAGGGGGGACCGAAGCCTGAGCCTGCCAAAGCCCGGCTGCCTTGGGCTGGGGGGGTGGGATGTCAAAACTGAAGCCTATGGGCTTCAGCCTCAGACAAGGGTTCTGTAACCTAAGCGCTGCCACCCAGGGCTGAAGCACAGTTTGAGAACTGCTGGCTTAGAAACTTTGCAAACAAAGAAAAGCTACTATCCCTGAGGTCATAATCCAACAAAGAGCCTTCTAGAGAAGAGTTCAGAAATAAATCATTTTTATAGAATTCTGAAGACGCTGGAAGAGGGTATTTTACCCTAGGGAGCTAATAATAATCTCCCCCAAACTGACAGCTGTTTAGGCTGGAGCTCCTGATACTCTTAGCTCTCAGCCAGAGACTGGGAAGCTATTAAAGCCCTTGCCAATGAGTTCTGAATCACTGCCACTGAATTTCATAAACCCTTAGGGTACAGCTACACTGCACACTTCTTGCAGCAGCGTTTAGAGTACATATGCTGCATGCCTCCCCAGCATGAATATAAAGAACAGGATAGATGATGAGGCACTGCTTACACAAGTGAAGACTTGCCTGAACACTGTGGGTGTGTACCCTACCAGGCTTTCTACATGCTCAAGCAGTACCATCCCCATCTGCACTGCTATTTTTAGCAGTGTTGAGTCCCACTGCCTCCCCGCTGCCACAATCTTTCCGTGCTGCCTCTCCCCTGACACAGCCTTTCACTGATGTAGCTACACACCAGAGTGTGAATGCAGCGTGTAGCTACATGTACCCAACTGCCATCAGTGGCGTGCAGTATAGACGTACCCTTTAGAAAATAAATTCGTTTCCAGGCCACTTCCTGGACAGCCCGCTCAATATGATGATTATTTTATGCTCTAAAAGAAGGACAAAGAGTGCACTAATTTAACTCTAGTGTAGATTTAGCTAATTAACTCTACATTAATCAAGAAGGGTTTCTATCCAAATTAACCCTGACTAAAGCACATTCATTAGAGGCTGGCATGGTGCTGACAATTCAAGAAACCTGGTAAACGACCATCAAAGGCTACCTCTTAATCAGATTTTCTTGCAGCAAATAACAGTTACAAGTAATCTCAGGTACTACACCTTTCTCTGAGTGTCTGTACTTTTTTGGTCTTTAAAGTCACATTTTCCTATTTTATTTATTTCTCTTTCCTGATGTGATGTTATGATGTGGGGAAAAAAAAACCCTGCAAACAGCATGGGAAACTGACTGCTTATACTGGAAAAACACTGAGACTTAAGATACAGAGTGCTGGTAAATGCAGAAAAGAAAAACTAGAAAATGAATTTTTGTACATAATCCCTCAATTATAGTAAATGTAGGTTTCACTTAATAAAAAAATCAGATGCAAGTGGG